TCGACATCTCGGACATTACTCGTCGGCCCGCCGCGGGCCACAGGTCGACATCTCGGACATTACTCGTCGGCCCTCCGCGGGCCACAGTTCGACATCTCGGACATTACTCGTCGGCCCGCCGCGGGCCACAGGTCGACATCTCGGACATTACTCGTCGGCCCGTCGCGGGCCACAGTTCGACATCTCGGACATTACTCGTCGGCCCGCCGCGGGCCACAGGTCGACATCTCGGACATTACTCGTCGGCCCGTCGCGGGCCACAGTTCGACATCTCGGACATTACTCGTCGGCCCGCCGCGGGCCACAGGTCGACATCTCGGACATTACTCGTCGGCCCGTCGCGGGCCACAGTTCGACATCTCGGACATTACTCGTCGGCCCGCCGCGGGCCACAGGTCGACATCTCGGACATTACTCGTCGGCCCGTCGCGGGCCACAGTTCGACATCTCGGACATTACTCGTCGGCCCGCCGCGGGCCACAGGTCGACATCTCGGACATTACTCGTCGGCCCGTCGCGGGCCACAGTTCGACATCTCGGACATTACTCGTCGGCCCGCCGCGGGCCACAGGTCGACATCTCGGACATTACTCGTCGGCCCGTCGCGGGCCACAGTTCGACATCTCGGACATTACTCGTCGGCCCGCCGCGGGCCACAGGTCGACATCTCGGACATTACTCGTCGGCCCGTCGCGGGCCACAGTTCGACATCTCGGACATTACTCGTCGGCCCGCCGCGGGCCACAGGTCGACATCTCTGACATTACTCGTCGGCCCGTCGCGGGCCACAGTTCGACATCTCAGCAGTAACCGTGTGTTGCAGGCATGTTCCAGCGACTGGACAAGATGCGCAAGCAGGCGTTCGCGTCCGTCTGTCTGTTCGGCTCCGACAACGACTCCACCATCTCCGGCGTCTGGGTGTGGCGCGGACAGGAGCTCGCCTTCCCGCTGTCGCCAGACTGGCAGATAGACTACGAGTCCTACGACTGGAAAAAGCTGGACCCCGCCAGCCCTGACACCAAGAAGCTGGTGCAGGATTACTTCTCGTGGACCGGAGTAGACAAGCAGGGCCGCAAGTTCAACCAGGGCAAGATCTTCAAATGAGCGTCGCTTTGCTTTACCTGTATTGTATAAAGTACTTGCATTTATTTTGTATTGTACCGCTGTCTGCCCGACCGGAGACTCGTGTCTTTATAATCCTGAATGGGCAGTTGAAATAAATTGTTTTTTATTTATGCACATGTGTATCTTTCCTTTACGACTTATTATTTATAATGGCAACAAACAGCATATTGTTCGATATGTTTGCTAGGCAACTATTTAAGTTTTAAATTGACACTTAATTTGGAACAGTTTTTTTTAACAATAAACATCAAATTCGGCGATGTTTTACCCGTGTCTCGAAAAGCACGTAAAGTCCTGCGCCTGATCTCTTTCTGGTCGTTTCGGTCTGCCGATCCCATCGGGTTCAGAGTGAGGGAACAGAGTGCACTTGTGCGATCTCCTGCGAAGGGCTTGTCTATTCAGACAGGGCACCATGATCGAAATCGATCGGGAGATGTATGTATATTACATTATTGTCTAACATTAAATTGTCGTCTGTTACGGTACAGTAGTGTAAATGCTACAAAAAATTAAGATTAGTGTCATAACTGATAATAACATAACTTCACACCTTTTATCCCCGAAGGGGTGGGCAGAGTTGCACATTACGGTACTTAATGCCACTGTACAATGTAACGCCCACTTTTCACTATTTATGTTATGAGTCCCATGTATTAGGGGGTAAGCCTATTGCCATATACCGGGCACATTTCCAGGCTCCGTGCTACTACTGAGATTATTTTTAAAAACCCAGAAACACTTGCCTGACCCCGGAATAGAACCCGAGGCCCTTTGCGCGGCAGTCGCATTTGAGACCACTCTGCTAACGAAGCTGTCATTAATAGCAGTAAAATAACGTACCTATATTTCCCGATTCGGTCGGCTGAAAGTGATCCACATTATACATATACATGGTAACAGTCTAAAGACGGGAATTAATAAATAAAAAGCAGGGAATGGAAAGCAAAATTCATATTTTTACTTCTCAGACTTTTGCCTAACTGATAGATTTTCTTTAACAGTATTACATACACATCTTAAATTGCTTTAACAAAATGGACTAACATTAGGTACAGTTGTGTCGCTACATCGTCCGGTTCCGGTTCAATAGAATGTGCAGACAATGTAAACAATATTGTCACGTTATCAGTATCACTCGTGGCTGCGCCGCGCCGCCCGGCTCGGCACTTTTCGTGTCGTCTGGCTGAATACGATAGTCACTGCATGTTTGGACACCACAGATTCTATTGAATTAACAGTTTTATAGTGATTGTAAGTATGTAGTACACACGAGAAGCTCACGGAATAAGTAGGTACCTATTTAAAAAAAATGATTGCACTAAGCTGAGCCAAATATTTATACATTTAGATAACATTTCTATGAGAGAAAATACCAAGATACAATTTACACAATATAGGTAATTAGATAACTAAAAGTATAATAGAGGATATAATAATCATTAACGGTTTTGATACTCGCAGTCAGAGGCCGTATTATCCCTCATGGGCGTCGCGGGACGATTTAGTGGTGCTTGCCGAGCCCATTCTAGGTTTAATCCGCCTCTGTCCGCGATTTTTGTATGCTTTCTACAGTATGCAACATATAGTCCACGGCACGTATAGTCCGTAAAATGATCTTTGTTACAACTAAAACTGACAATGACATTTCTAGGGTTGTCAAGATATAAGAATGTTGCTGGTAATTATCGATATTAATGTCTTATTTTATATGCGAAGAAGTGACGAATAAATAATACATTTTCTTTATTTAGTTTTCCAACATAGGAATGTATACTTTAATATGACGACGGGTGATGCTGCTTCGAAACAAGAAAGATTAAATGGAGGGTAGCAACAAACACACCAAGTTGTTTAAATAAGGCGAGCTGAACTCCCAAGTTTAGTAATGTATGGGCCGGTACAGTCCAGTCATCTATACTTCAAAGCGGACTTCTATAGATATGTCGAAGACTGATCATTGGGTTGGTCAGTCAGGCCACGATATGGTTGCATTGCATGAGCACGTCTTGAAGTAGTACCTACTGAGAATAGATATGTAATACATACTTCTATACATACATAATTATAATAGGTAGGTACTCTAATTTCCATCGTCCGCGTGCAGAAGTGACTTAGGCAAAATGTTGTTTAATTCAATGTAATAATATCAGTGTTGCTCAGTAAAGATGTATCTAGTAATATTTGGAATCGGTTTAGTAATTTTTGTTACAAACAAACATAACACGAATAAGAAGTCGCCGCGTGTGATAAGACAGCCCGTTGTACTCAAATTACTGTTACATTGTAAACTATTGTTTTTTTCTGTATGTGTGCAAGAAAGTATGAAATAAATCTATAGCGCAAAATAAATGTTTCCTCTTTATAATATTAATCGAGATACAAGTGGCCCGCGTCCCCCGTGATAAGGTCCTACGTATTCAGACACGAGAAGAAACACCTCAATAGAATATATTCAATTGCACCTTTGAATACACAGTGGTGTGGTTTACACCAACCACTTCTTTGCAAGTATGAGTAAAGATCTACAGGCAGTTAGCAAAATCAACAGATATAACTTTTAAAATGACGTGTGACGCGTGTGTGAGTAAATAATATGCATGTATTCGGTCGAAATTAAGATCCAAGCTCTATCCAAAGTCTCTGGCTGGGACTGGGTTCTTGACAAACACTCAATAGAATAATGTCAAAAACCGAGATCGATCCAAACATTTTGGACAGAGGTCGGTTATTAATTTCGGTCCATAGACAATATAATAGTTTGTAGCGAGTAGCGAGTTACAATCACTGCCAAGTGCCAGTGTCGGCCTGCAGGCAACGCGCGGCGCTTGGCTTACTGCGGTAGTAGCGGTACTCTCGGCACGTGCCGATGCGGATAAGGCAGTTGTGCGGACACGAACCTGTGTCGAGTTAAGTGTTTACTCCATACATACGTCACCTTTACACATCACTCACTCATATCCCACTATTTCATACATATCGTATTATTTAAATTACAATATACACTTCGGTCAAACAATTCAATAAACATCAAAAAATGCAAAGATCAACGGTGGCTAATAGGAGATTTATAAACGACCCTAAAATATACATTACATACCTAATGAACTGGGTAAATTTACATCTCAAAAATGATACTATCTCTTGCCGCTGCGGGTAAGATATAATCTTCATAATTTTATAGTTGTAAAGTATGGTGCAGCGCCTGGCGCGGCGTAGCAGCATCGACGTCGGCGTCTCCGGCGCGGGCGCGGCGGCGTCAGTGGGACTGCGCCTCCTGCAACCAGGCCCGTCGTCACATCAACATACATAGGGACACTGATGGACTGTGCTCGCAACTGCTTCCTAGTATTCGCTACTGCTCGCCTAGTGCTCGCTACCTAGTACTCACCCCGTCGGCGTGCTGGTCGGGGTGCAGGTCGAGGTCGGCGGTGAACGGAGCAATCTGCACCCGCAGCTGCACGTGCGCCTCCTCCTCGCCGCACTCCAACGACGACGAACTGACCATTACAACAAAACATTCATGTTATAAACGTCGAATAATCATCGAATGTCTTCTCCCGCCTCTGGGTGAGGCGGGAGGGAGTGTCAGACTCTACCTGACCAAAAACCACCCCGTTCGTACTCCTGCCTTTCAAGCCGGAGCCCCAGCAACCCGATAAGACCTCCGCGGCTCCGTATTGGCATCAGCCTTATTGGGCCCCATCCGTGGTGTTCTGATTGCTCTTTGAGGCGCGCGCTGAACGCGAACGCAACGGCTGGGCTGTGAGGAGGCAGGATGTCTGCTTCGCAAAAGGAGGAGACGGCATATCAGTCCTCCTAGGTCCGCATCATGGCCCGGACTTGGGCAAGACGCGAGAGGTCGCCGTCGCCGATCACATCACTGAGGGCACGACGGTGCAAACCCCACGCAGGGCATGCCCCCACCGTGTATTCCACCGTGTCCTCAGGGCAGTCCTGGCAGTGATGACACCTGGGCGTTTCCTCCCGCCCTATCAGACACAGGTACCTCCCAAGCTCCCATGTCCGGTAAGTACCTGCGTCAGGCGGTAGGTGAGGACGCCATAGCGTCTCTTAAGCCACTCCTCAAAGGGGCCTAGGCGTCCTCAAAGAGGAGTTGCGTACCGCCCGTTACGTTAGAGGGTGAGGAGGACTGTAACTGTATCTCCTAGCCTACAGAGGTAGGTATTGGAAAAGTAAAGGCCACTGGGAAATAAATGTATTGAGTCTCGGACTCTCGGTCCACCAACATAACAGTCATAATTTCAGGCATCCGTACGTAGTTACATACCTGTATCGACAACGGACAGGAGCCGAGTGAGAGCGGTGAGTGGCGCAAGTGGCGCAGTAGCGTGTACATACCTGGCGCGCAGGGGCTGCAGGTCGTCGTGCAGCAGTGGCAGCTGGTCCTCGTCGCGCGCGGCGTGCGCGTGGCACTCGCAGCGACACTGCTCGGGCTCCACGTAGCTGAACACGACGGCCGCGCCGTCCGCCGAGCCCGCGCCGTCCGCGCCCTCGGTGCCTCCTGCAGCCGCCGCAGCGGGTAGTGTCTGTATACGTTTGGGCTGTTTTCGTCGCTCTGGCACTTCCTCGAAGTCTATCCACTCAGTTTTCGGACGCGAGTCGTAACCTGAACAATATAACTGTACCTAAATATAAATGGCCTGGTTTGTTCACAATCTATACTGGGACCGGGTCTGGTTCTGGTCAGGCGGCAAGCAGTTAAGGCAGCCAACCGTCCCGTATTCTGCGGGACCGTCCCGTAATGCTAGATGTAATCCCGCTTTGAAATAATTTATAAAATAGTCCCGTAAAACGTTAGATGCGTCCCGCAAGTCCCGCATACCCATTTCTTTTTTTTCATTTCATACAACACGACACCAACACACGCGCACTAACAACAGCGCGAATAAATGAAGATCGGAAAAATCGTCACTAAAAGTGAAAACACTACGCTCTGCTTGTACTTAAATTTAATATGGGAAGTTACGAAGATTTTCATGACATACCGACTCAATAAGAATCCTGAGCTTGTTAATAAGTGTCACTCTGGAGATAAATACGATTTTATTAATAGTTAAATAACTTTTGTTAGGTACAAAAGTTATTTAACTATTAA